CAGCTCCTCCCTGCAGGGAGTGTTGTCAGTCTCTATTTTCCAGAAAGCTCTCATAATAGTTCTGTATGACTTTGGGCTTCACAGGCTTCAGTTAAAATCTGACTCGGTTAAGAAACCTGCCCAAGGCCACTTAGCTGGTAAACAGGGGAGTTGGAGCTCTGAATGCAAAACCTAAATGCTTTTGCTATAACATGAGTTAATCTCCAGCTGAAACTGAAGTTCCAATACTTTGACCACCTGATGCAAAGAGCTGACTCATTGGAAAAGACCCTGATGCTGGGAAGGATTGAAGGCAGGAGGAGAGAGGACAACAGAGGATGAGATGGTTGGATGACATCAATCACTGATTCAATGGACAAGAGTTTGAGCAAGCTTGGGGAGATGGTGAAGGACAGGGAAACCTGACGTGCTGTAGTCCATAGGGTCAGAGTCAGACACAACTAAGTAACTGAACAACAACAGATTGGGGAGAGGGAGGCTAAGAGCCTGTCAAGACATTTTACCCTGAAAACCTCGAATTCCTCCTGCTCCCCCGGAGGGTTGCCTGGCATATAATCCTGGAGAGAGGCACTGAGGCTGTGCTGCATGCTCCCCCAAATCCTGCTGCCTGGGGTCTAATGGTGGGGTGCAGCTTCAGGTCCTACTCCCTGCAGAAGAGCTCCAGGCAGCCCACCAGCAGTGGGCACACTGAACCCGGCTCTCAACCCAGGACATGCCAGCTAAGGACAGCCACCTGCTGCCCTGCCCCAGCTGCACCCACATCTGCTCTAGGTCTGTCAGGAGTGGCCTCCTCTCCAACATCCATCTAATGAAGAGGGTGTGGGGGTGCAGACCAAGGGGCTGAGGGGACAGCCTCAGGGAAGAGGACCCCCACGGCCTCGTAAGAGTCTCTCCTGCCCTCTTTTTATTTCATAAACAGTTTAGTACCAGCTGTGTACACAGTCCCACATTAGACACACATGCCACATCACAGAAAAGCTATATACCACACCACACACACCTCTCCACATACACATGAAATACATACCCCCTTACAGAGCCCAGATATACTAGGGTCCTAGATATACTACGACCATTCACCCCTGTCCCAGCCTCTAATCCAAGCTATATACCACACCCCACACATATACCACATATACCACTCAAAATACACAGCACACACACACCACATATACTAGGGCACGCACATGCACACCCCCACCCAAATATACCAGGGACACACACACCCCAAATATGCCAGGGACACACACACCCCAAATATGCCAGGGGCACACACACTCCCCCCAAATATACCAGGGACACACACCCCAAATACACCAGGGGCGCGCACACACACCTCAAATATAGCAAGGACCGACACACACACACACACACACACACACACACACACACACACACACACACACACACACACACACACACACACACACACACACACACACACACACACACACACACACACCAAATATACCAGGGAGACAGACAGCACCGCCCCCCGCCACCCCCGCCACACAGCCATTCACCCCTGTCCCGGCCTCTAGGCGAGGTTGGGGAGTTGGCCGCCCACGCGGTGACGCAGGAGGCAGCAGCACGAGGCCGCTCGCTCTGTCTTTGGAAAGAAAGCGCGTCACCGCCTGGAGCGGCGGGCCTGTTGTTCCTTCCCAAGCTATGCCTTGGGAGGGCCTCTTACCTCAGAGCCGAGATGTATTGATCTCATTTTGCAGACAGAGAAAATGGAGGCGGGGAACGTGAGCGGAAGGTGAAAGCAGCTTCAGAAGCCCCAGCCTCAGAACGGTCTATGCCTCCGCGAGGGACGCAGGAGGAGGGCGGGGACACGCAGGGCCGCGTGCGGGGTTGAGCCCGGGACAGAGGCCAGCAGGCCTGGCCGGCCCTCACCTGCTGGGGCCGGAGACATGTGGCCTCCTCCTCCTGGCGCCCGCCCCACCCCCACCCCTCCTCAGCAAGGGTAGAGAAGCTTCTGGCAGCAGAGGGGCGAGCATCAGTGACCAGGCCAGGGTGTGAAGAACTCTCTGGTCCTCGAGGAGACATTGGCACGGCTGTGGGCAGGCTAACATCTGACGCGTGGCAGCTGGGTGACCTCCTGGATCAGGGTGGAGCTGATGCTAGGATAACTCCAGGGCCCGGGAGTGGGAAGAGGCCCCTGTAGACCTTCCTCCCTCCCCCTGGAGGGCAGAGTTCGGGGACAGAAGCGCCCCAGGGCCCCCGGGTAGAGCTGGGCATCCTGCGGCTTCAGACGTGCGCTCGGCCCTGCGTTTCTGAACAGCCCCTCCCCGTGGGCTCCCTGTCACCCCCGGTCTCGGCCCTCTGCTCTCCCCAACTTTGATGAACCCCCGAGAAGCAGAGCCCAGGGGGGAGGGGCCATCGGCTCTGAAAAGGGAATTCTAGAAACAGGGCTGCAGGACGTTAATCTTCCGGGGCTGTAGGGACCAGGGAACCCACGCGATGAGGGACCTGGTGGCATGGGGAGCCACTCACAGCTCTCCAGCCTCCGGGGAAGAGCAATTGTAGGGTTTCTTTACCACAGCTCCCCAGGGCGCCAGAAACCTATTGGACACAGGCCTAGGAGTCATGGGGAGGCAGGGACTGCCTGCAGTGGTGTGACCATGACTGCCAGCACCTCGGGGTGCCTTAGACCTAGACGCTCTCTCCTTCACCCACGGGGTGCAGGTTCTGTCCTTCGGGCCAGAGTGGCGCTGGGAGGGAGCCTGGGGGAACTTGTGCCTCCCTCGAGCTCTTCAGAAACCCCAAGTCCTCAGAGTGTGGGGGGGAAGGGGGCACGGGGGAGGGACATCAGGCCTGCTCACTGGGAGGGTGTCTGAGGCCAGCGAGGAGGCCCAGAGGCAGAGATGCCCGTGGACTCGGATCCCAGCCAGGAGCCAGGTGGCCATCAGACCCCAGGCCCCAGGCCCCACCTCACGAGGCCCTGCAGGAAGCCTGGCACCTCTGCCGGAGCCTGCTGGGCTGCCTTGCCACCACATCTGCACCCAGGAGAGCCCGCAGCCTGCATGCGCTGCCCTGGGGACTGGATGCGTGACTCAATCCCTGCTTTGCTAATCACTCCTCTCTCCTCTCTCTCCCGTCTCGCACAGCCTTCCTTCCCCTGGAGAAAAGCGTGCCTGCTCTCCGTGGCGCATTCATCTGTCCTTGCCCCTGCTTCTGCTCTGCGCAGCCCCCACACTGCCCTCCCCAGCTTGCTGTCTCCTGCTCCAGCCTCCACCAGGATGACTGTCTGCGTGCCCATACCTCACCCCGGCCAGTGTCTGTCAGGGTGAACCCTCTGCTATGTCAGGCAGCCCTCCTGTAACCTCTCTGCCCACTTAGAGGGGCACAGAACCCCCTCCAGGAGGTATCTGACGAGGGAGCGTGGGAACGCAGTGGCCAAGCTCTTCCTTCTCAGGCCAGCCACTCAGCCTTTCCATGACCAGCAGTACCTCCCCTAAAGGGAATCAAGAACAAGGTGACTTTCTGGTTGTTTTTTCTCTGCTTTGACCAGAGCCTGGAAGAGGAATCTAGCCCAAGAAAGCAGTGGGAAGTCCCAAGACTGTCCAGGGTGCCTGTGACCTGACACCACAGAGCCTGCCTGGTGGGAAAAATTACCCCTCCTGCAGTGCAGTCAGGGCGCCCAGGGGGCACAGTGTAGGGGTCAGACTGCCAGAGTGGCTCTGGTACCAGCACCCCGCCACACCCCAGGCACTCACAGATCCTCTCTGAAAGTGAAAGTAGTGAAAAGTCAGACTCTTTGCAACTCTATGGACAGTCTATGGAATTCTCCAGGCCACAACACTGGAGTGGGTAGCCTTTCCCTTCTCCAGGGGATCTTCCCAACCCAGGGATTGAACCCAGGTCTTCTGCATTGCAGGCAGATTCTTTACCAACTGAGCTATAAGGGAAGCCCCAAGATCCTCTCTGGGCTTCTGTAAAATCAAACAGTCCAACTGTTTGATGCCCAAGGCCATTTCTATGTTTTCAGAGCCATGACAAAGAAAAAAAAACTCCCCTAAAAGTTGAAGCAGGCTGAAAAGCCAACATTACTTGCCTGTGGGTTTCATGATATATAACAACTCCTTTCTTTTTTTTTAAGACTAAATGACTTCACAGGCCTGTGACCTGGGTAGTCATACAGAACCCCACACTTTGAACGGCCCTGTGTTGGGTTTAATGCTCTGTTGTGGCTGTCTTAAAAGTCTTGATAAGTTTTGTACACGGGCCCCACATTTTTATTTTACAATGGATCCTGCAATTGTGATGCTGATGCTGGCTACAAATACTTAGAATGTTGGTCAAGGTGAACCATGGACAAGTCTGAAGTGTTTTTTGTTTTATAGAATTGTGGCATCTGGAATACAGAAATGTTGGACATTTCCTCGTTTTCCGTTCCCTGGGGAAGGCGGAGAGGGTGAGGCAATTAAGGAAGCACTTGATGAGAGTTAAATTGTTCAAGGGGACCAGGAGTTCTGTATCCACAGTTACTGTTTTTGCAGTTAGCTGCAGTCAGGGCTCTGGAGATTGATTCAGACATCTCCTGCAGGGAAAGACTACTACTGTTGCCTGATACTCATTATCTGCTTCTTCTGAAGTGCTAAGATTATTAGCTGGTCATGGCCAGAACAACAACAAAAAAAAAACAAAAACTTTCCCCAGTTTCTTTTGCAGTTAGTTATGTTTGTGTGATTTTGGCCATGCCATGCAGCATATGGGATCTTAGTTTCCCAGCGAGAGATTAAACCTGTGCCCCTTGTTTTGGAAGCACAGATTCCCAACCACTGGGCCACCAAGGAAGTCCTGTCCATGTGATTAAGTGCTGTTCAGTGGGATGTGTGTGCCACCACCCCTTTGGTATGTGGTCTTCTGTAACATCACAGATAAGTTTGAAACTTTTAGACTAGGATCTGAAGAAAAAACACATGCTATTAGTTGTTATTTCACAGTAGAAGTTTATTTAGGAGCGAATTGGATAAATGTGGTGTGTGCTCAGTTGCTCAGTCATGTCTAAATCTTTTCAACTCCATGGACTGTAGCCCGCCAGACTCCTCTTTCCATGGAATTTCCCAGACAAGATGGAGTGGGTTGCCATTTCCTACTCCAGGGGATCTTCCTGACCCAGGGATCCAACTTGCATCTCCTTCATTGGCAGGCAGATTCTTTACTGTTACCACTGTGCCACCTGGGAAACTAATTGATACATAGATGCCCTTTAGTGTATAGTTCCTCAAACAAGAAGATGAGACTGGCATTCCATCTCTAAGGGGATTCGAGTGGAGGGAGCAGATAATAAGTAAAATATCAGGTATATGCAATGAAGAAGAACTGAGCAGGTGGGCTATGGGGATGGTAAGTGCCAGGGATGTCATTTCAAAGGTAACATGAAAGGGTCTGAGGAGGTGATTTTTGAGGAGAGGGCTTAGTGAAGACAGGGAGGAGCTGTTACAGATAGCTGGGGTAAGAACATTTGAGGGAAAAGGATATAGTCAAATTGTTCTGCCAAAAGTGGAAGTCTCTCGAGATTCAGACTTGTATTTCCAACTATCGGTTGTCATCTCCATCTCGATGCCCCAATAGCATCTCAAACTCAACATGTTTAAAATTTCTCTTCTGCTCCAAACCAGCTCCTCTTCCTCTGTTTCTGTTAGTGCTACTAACTTCATATCATAATAAGCTAAACTGAAATGTTGCATTGTGTGCACCAGGTTACCAAGTTGTGACCATTTTTCTTCTACAAATGCTCTCCAGTCTTTTCTGCCACCCCTGGCATCCAGGCCCTGGATTACTGCAGCAGCCTCCTCACAGGTCTCCACGCCTGTAGCTGCTCCGGCTTCTCTCCATCTTCAAGACTGTGCTCAGTCATCTTCCTTCAGCACCACTTTGACTTCCTCTGCTCAGAAAGCTTCAGAGTCTCTACAAATAAAGTCTGCAATCCTTAGCCTAGTAACTAAGGTCCATCTTTCATTCTGGTCCCATCTTCCCATGCTCTTTTAAGTACATCTTTATTTGGATTTTTTGCAGTTTTCCAAAGACAGCTCTTCCTCTCCTGTCTTCATGTCTTGATTCCTTCTGCTTCCTCCTCCTCCTGGAATTTGATCGCCACCTTTCCCATGAAGCCTTTCCTCAGCTCCTTGCTCAGCAGAGCTTTTTCATCCTTTGACCTACAGGATCCTCTTTGTGTCACTTTTTTCGGGACTTCTGCGATTGTAAAAGGAATACAACATTGAGAAAAGTTCTGAAAATGGAAAAACAATAATCCATATTCCTATTTCAATAAGTTGATTTCACATTTGGCTATGTTTTCTAGTTCTGGTGGTCTGCATGCATATTTTTACGTAATTGTAATCATAGTAGACATAAAATTCTGATTTGTTGTCACTTCCACCCAACATTCCCCCATCTTTCCACAGTCTTTCCAAAGTTGTAGGAGTTTTAAAAAGAGGTCAAAATAAGTCTGTAAGTGTCTTGGAGAAGGGAATGGTAACCCACTCCAGTATTCTTGCCTGGGAAATCCCATGAACAGAGGAGCCTGGTGGGCTACAGTCCATGTGGTCGCAAAAGTTGGACACGATTTAGTGACTAAACCACCACCTCCAAGTGTCTTACGGACTCAACGTACTATAATTTATAAGACCATCTATCACTGACATTTGATGAGTTTTGTTATAGTCGAGCTATTAATAGACTAGAAAGCTATTTCAAAGTGAAAAGGAAATCTTAAGGCTTCTATTCCTAGCACCTAGCTAACTGCTTCAATCAGCATTTGTTGGATGGATGGATAAACAAATGCACACAGTGAACATCCTTAGACATAACTTTTTTTTCTGTTGAATATTTTCCCAGCCAAAGAGTGCTAAAAGAGCATTAACATCTTATATAAAATATTTTAATATAAAATTAACATTTTGGGGGGCTTTGCACATTGTGAAGTGAAAGTATTAGTTGCTCAGTCATGTCCAACTCTTCGCAACCCCATGGACTATAGCCCGCCAGCCTCCTCTATCCTTGGGATTTTCCAGGCAAGAATACTGGAGTGGGTTGCCATTCCCTTCTCCAGGGGATCTTCCTGACCCAGGTCTCCTGCATTGCAGGCAGATTCTTTACTGTTTGAGCTACCTGGGAAGCCCTTGCACATTGTGGCAGATTGTATTTTTCAAAAATGGTCACATCGATATATGTCCCATCCCACATTCTGTGATGTGGGATATTCCTCCATTGAGAGGTGGAATCTATGTTCTCTTTGAAACTGTTCATTTGTTTATACCTGTGTTGATTAACAGAATCAGTTCAGTTCAGTTGTTCAGTCGTGTCAGACTCTTTGCGACCCCATGGACTGCAGCATGCCAGGCTTCCCTGTCCATCACCAACTCCTGGAGCCTACTCAAACTCATGTTCATCACATCGGTGATGCCATCCAACCATCTCATCAACAGAATACAGTGGAAGAAACATGGAACTTTCAAGCCCAGGTTATAAAAGGCAATAGGCTTTGTCTCTATCTCCCCTTCTTTCTTAAGACACTTGTTCTTGGAATTCAGCCACTATGTTATTAGGAAGCCCAAGCCACATGTAGAGACCACATGTGGGCCTTGTGCCCGCACTCCCAATGATGTCCCCAGTTAATACCCAGAATCAACCACTGAACGTGGGAGTGAACAGCCTTCAGATGATTCAATCATCCAGCCCCACACACTGTGGAGAAGAGAGAAGCCATCCCCATTGTACCCTATCTGAATTCCTGATCCACAGAGAGAGATACCAATGATTATTGTTTGGGGACAATTTGTTATGCAGCAGAAGTGGCTGAAACACACAGTTAGTCCCATGTTGTGTTCTGAAAGATTTGTAGTAATTTGCAGGTTCACCACAACCTCATGAGCCGTAGTATGTGGCCTCTTTGTGGGCATTGACCTCAAAGTCTGCAAATCTCATCTCTGTTTCTCATCTGTGAGCTCCTTGAGGGGATACATCACTGCATTTTTATTCTCAGTTCTTAGCAGGCACTTGGTAAATGTTTATCCATTTGTACATTTGTTAGAAGTATACATAACTAGGGTATGCACTGTCCTGGCCAGGAAGCACAGAGTCTGACTGTGTAGTAGACTGAAGCTATCTTGGTTTCCTCATTAGAGAAAGCAGATTCTAGAGAAGTGGCTCAGAGAACACATGCTCTAGTCCAATTACACACAAGCTTGGAGGAAACTATGCAGTGTGTCTGGGAACGGGATAATGGTATCCACTCTGATAATGGATCGGAGTGTTCCCAGCCCTTACAGCTGCTCCTAATACAGCTCCAGCTGTAAGGGCCTGCACGATGCCACCAATTTTGCTTTCTAGTGAGAAACTACCAGCAGATACATGTCTAGATGGTATTTCTCCCACCGCCATGCCTACTCTTTACTACTGAATCAATTTTCATAGAGCCCAGCACAACGGAATGCATGGAAATGTAGAGCAGGCCCTCTGCCTTTCCTTCTACAAGTTTAGATCCACTGCCAGTTGCCAGCTTCTTGCTTCCTCTCTTCTCTGCCACAGTTCCACTCTCCAGCCAGAGAGCTCTCCGTATGTCCTCTCCCTTTGAAACTGTTCAGTTGTTGATCAACAGAATGCAGTGGAAGAAACACAGAACTTTCAAGCCCAGATTGTAAAAAGTAATATGCTCTGCCTCTACCTGCTCCCTTTTTTTCTCAGGATACTTGCCCTTGGAATTCAGCCACTATGTTATGAGGAAGCCCAGGTCACATGTAGAGGCCACATGTGGGCCTTCTGCCCGCTTTCCCAATGATGGTCTTTAGCACAGAAAGCACACTCATAAAAAATTCCAGTCAAAAAAATAAATGATTGCTTTTCAAGTGAATTCTGTCTACTTAACCCAATTATTAATTCAACAAATATTTACTGAACACCTGACATGCACCTGCCCTCAAGAACGATAAGGAAGTCACAGTCTAACAGAAGCTTATCATTCATAGGAGTTCTGTCCAATCAAGAGACTTGCAGTTTTCCTTGGGTACTTGTTTTAGCATAGCCCCACTATTACAGGTGCCAGGTCAGGGTCAAGAGGGCAAGTCAGCCTGGGGTTGGTTGAGTGGAGAGGTAGGATGTGTGGGAAAATAAAAGTTGTGAGGTGGGAAAATAAAAGTTGTGAGGTGGGAAAATAAAAGTTGTGAGGTGGGAAAAAGAGGAGAGTGAAAAAAACTGGATTAAAACTCAACATTCAGAAAACTAAGATCATGTCATCTGGTCCCATCACTTCATCGCAAATAGATGGGGAAACAATGGAAACTGACAGACTATTTTCTTGGACTCCAAAATCACTGTGGATGGTGACTGCAGTCATGAGATTAAAAGATGTTTGCTCCTTGGAAGAAAAGCAGTGATAGACCTAGACAGTGTATTAAAAAGCAGAGACATTACTTTGCCTACAAATGTCTATATAGTCAAAGTTATGATTTTTCCAGTAGTCATGTATGGATATGAGAACTGGAAATGAGCCCTTTGGCAGATATGAGCACCAAAGAATTGATGCTTTCAAACTGTGGTGCTGGAGAAAACTCTTGAGAGTCCCTTGGACAGCACAGAGATCAAACCAGTCAATCCTAAAGGAAATCAACCCTGAATATTCACTGGAAGGACTGATGATGAAGCCAAAGCTCCAGTACTTTGGCCACCTGATGCTCATTGGAAAAGACCCTGATGCTGGGAAAGACTGAAGGCAGGAGGAGAAGGGAATGAGATGGTTGGATGGCATCACTGACTCAGTGGACATGAGTTTGAGCAAACTTCGGGAGATGGTGATAGACTGGGAAGCCAAGTGTGCTGGAGTCCCTGGGGTCGCAAAGAGTCAGACATGACTGAGTGACTGAACAACAATGAGGTGGGAAAAAGTAGCAACTTAGATACAGTAGTTTAAATGAAATCATTTCTCTGGCTACACAGAAAAACATCTAGTGTTTTATTGAAGAGACACTGTATGTTAGGATGTGGACTTTGCCTCCAGGTTCTATCCAAGGCACTTGGTCTAAGTGGAATCTAACCACCACTTTAAGGCAGTGAACTCCAGGAATTCTCAAGATGGCATAAAAAAACTTTAAAGAATTCATGCAGAGCATTTAACTGGAAGCAGAGCATTATACTGAATTTATTTTTAATGTTGGTTAACTAACTTGAGATGGAAGCTGTAAAACACCTTTTCAAACCACGAGGTTTGGGGACTGATGGCTTTAGTACAGACTCCCTTCTGCCAAGTCTCACTTTGACAAGTTAACGGGACTACTCCTCTGCCCCTCAGGGTGTCCAGTGGATGATACCCTCCCCATTAGGAACAAAAGGGGCCTTTCTTTGGAGTTGCAGCTCAGCCAGTCAATGC